TTTTTTTTTTTTTTTTGTTGTGACTTGCAGTGTTTCTTCATTTTCACACTCTGCAATACTTCTAATCATAATGATCAGCTGAAGGTATGCATCTTATTTTTTTTCCACTCTTCTTTATTGATTATTGAAGAAAGATGTTTAAGAAGGAAAATGTCCAAATTTTACAGCTTGGGGCAACTAGCTCAGAAGAAGCAGCTAAGTGGATACGTTCTTTACAAGATGCTGCTGTTAAGCCAGTTACGGACATGTTTTTTTGTTCCAAAAGGAAATATCAGCCTTTCAGGTGAGAGCGTCTTTTGTTTTGCATGGCTCTTGGGCCAATATGTTTCATCGTAGAAGGATAAATAATTGGGACATGTTTTCGCTTATAAATATTTCTACGTACCAAAATTTCTTTAGTTTTCCTTCATGAAGTTTAAGTGAGGTTATGGTTAAGTGATAAAAGTAACTAATTTCTGGGAGTCAAAGTAATTGTTCATTTCATACATATTTCATATTATGTTATTTATTTAAGCAAATCGAGTATCATTTTTTTTTTTTTATACAGCTTGACTGTTACCAAAAGAATGGCAAAAAGGTCTATTGACTGGACAGCAGCATCTTCTTCGCATGCAGATGTCATCACATCTGATGTAATCTCTCCTTCTCCGTGGAAAATATTCGGTTGTGAAAATGGTAACAATTACTCATTTTTTTGGGTCATCTATTGGCAAGTATTTTGGCCGGATATTAAAATTTTACATCCGTATTGTGGCTGCTCTTCAGGATTACGTCTTTTCAAAGAAGCCAAAGACAGAGACTCAAATGGAAGGGTGTGAATATTATTTATTTATTTATTTTCTCTTTTGATGCTTTCAATATTTTCTCTTTAAAAAATACATATATTTTCCAGCATTGGGAGGATACGCCAGCCATAATGGCAGTTGGAGTCATCAATGCAGCCTCGGAGGATGTTTTTCGTACGGTTATGGATATTGGTCCATCAAGGACTGAGTATGAATTTCTCGATTTTGCTCAAATCTAACTAACTAACTAACTAAGAAATCGGCATATATGTGGCCTAATTAGCAATGCATTCCGAGAGGTATTCACATTTTAACGTCCTTTTTTTTCGCAGATGGGATTTTTGTTTCTACAAGGGTACTGTGGTTGAGCATTTGGATGGTCATACTGATATCATTCACATTCAGCTGTATAACCATTGGCTACCATGGTCTGAATTGTGAATTCTGAAAGGAACTTATACAAAATATATATATAAATATATATATATATATATATATATATATATATATTACTAAATATATCACTAGATATATAAAATGTATATCTATTACTACTGGTGTGTATAACCGAAGTTCCTGCTTTCAGGTCCATGAAACGACGGGACTTGCTGATAAGACGTTACTGGAGAAGAGAAGGCGATGGCACATATGGTACAGAGAAAAAAAA